TCTGGTGGGGGGGGATTGGCTGTGGGTCCCCCAGCCAGGGTCAAGGGGAGCAGCCTGAGGTCCCCTACCCCAACATGCCAGGCGTGGGGCACGGCCTGAGGTTCCCTGTCAAGCCCCACCAGGCCGGGGGCGCCAACTGAGGTCTCCTGCCCCGGCCCAGCGCCACACAGACTAAGGTCCATGCTGATTGCTCATTAAGGCTCGTTACAGGAACTCGGCTTCTGCTGTGGGCGCAGCCATCGTGTTATGGAATCCCTGACTTCGATGTGGGTGCAGCCATCTTGTGTTACGGAATCCCTGCCTCTGCTGTGGATGCAGCCAACTTGACTGTTATGGTATGACGGTCAATTTGCATATTCCCTCTTTATTAGATAAGACTAGAGGCCAGTTGCATGAAGAGATTTGTGCAATCGGCCTTCCCTTCCCCTGGCTGCCAGCACCAGTTTCCTTCCGGCACCCAGGACCCAAGTCTTCACTCCAGGTGGAGCCTTCAGTCTTCGCTCCACCGCTTTGTGCCTACGTATGAAAATTAACTGCCATCTTTGTTGGGTTAATTTGCATGCTCTCCTGATTGGCTGGTGAGCATAGTGGAGGGATGGTCAATATACATGTTTGTCTATTATTAGATAAGAAGATTTACTGAGCACAAATCATGTTCCAAGCATTGATCTATGCACTGGTGATCTAGTGAACAAGATAATTTCCCTGACCTCAGGAGCTCACACTTTTGTATGTAAACAAATAATACCAGATAGTGTTATGAAGATAAAATAAAGTCACCATGAATGATGGAAGTGGAAAGGTGCACTTTAAATTGGCGGGTCAAGGAAGTCCTTCTTGGGGAAATAATATTTGGGCTTAAAACTGAATGACAAAAAGGAGCCAACCATGAGAATTCTTTGCATAAACTATTCCATTGATCAGAAAGGGCAAATCCCTAAGGCCAGAAGCCCTAAGTTCAGGAAAGAAATAAGAAAACAAAGAGAATCAGTAATGGTAGTGATCTGGCAGATATGAGTGTAATGAACATTGGCTACAAGTGGGTCATGAATTTAGTGCTGAGCTTCATGATATAAGTCAGGGCTACAATGCACCCTTAGAAAACAATCCTGAATATTGACTTGCACAAAAACCATACACTTCATACATTATTTGTAATACTAAAAAATCAGAAGCAGATTGAATGTCTAACAATAAAGGGATACACAGGCCATGATGCACATTTACCTAACAGATTACTGTGAGTCTATTAAAATTGAGAATTATGGTAACATCAACATATTTATGCTATAATGCCAAGTGAAAACACGAATTATGAAATAACAGGACTATTATTTTATGAAACGCTCAAGACTACAAAAATCCTCACCACAACAACCAATAAGCTAACCTGAAAGAAACATACATCAAATTTCTAAATTTAATGTGTTTAGTGGTAAAAGTATACATAATGTTTTTTTCCTTTTTCTTTCCTCTTTACTGTGTTTTTTGGATTAAAAATAATTTTAAAGGGGAAAATCCATGTATATGTAAGCAACTGAAAGACTAATATAGTATAATAATATGTATGATATGTACAACTAAGAGTTCTGCGGGAAAAACATATATAAGGTACATAAATATAACTATTAACAGTTAACAAATTTAACTACCTGGGTGAAAATGCCTCCTGCTCTCATCCCACTACAATCATTTCCCACAAAGATATTACTAGAGAATCTTTAAAAAACATAGATTGACTGTAGCAGTTCCCCATGGATACCCTTTAGCTGCTCCCCAGCATCTAAAGGACAATGTCCAGATTCCTGAACAGGAATATGATATATTCTTAGGTTTCTGTCTATTTCTCTGACCATCATTTGCGATGCCCCAACTCCAGCTCATCCTATTATTACGTTGCCAAACAGAACCACTTCAAACTTCTCCAATTTGAGGTGTTTTGTGCTGTTCTCAATTTGCCTGGAATGTCTTCTCTTTTTTGTCCAGTTATAGTCTTAATCTTCCTTCATAATTGCACTCAAATACCACCTGTATTATGGGGCCTTCCCTAATTACCTTGAACAGAGATGTATATTCTTCCTCATTCACCTCTACCATACACAGCAGAAATTTCTATAGCAAATATGGAACAGTAAAATTATTTTTATCTTTACATCTGTCCTCTATATTTTCTACAATGATTTATTTGAGGGCTTATTCCATGTTTTATTTTTGTATCCTGAGAAACTAAATCTGTTCTTGGCAGCACATGTTTTCTGATTAAGAGGGAAACAAGCAAACATACCTCTACCGGTCTCACCCAAGCCAAAGAACAAGGGATAGCCTGAGCTGGAAGCTTTGTGTAGCAGCATCTGCAATTGATAATCAAATATATTAATATTTAATAATGTTTTTATACTGCATGCTATGGAATTTCTAAGCCATTTCTTGATTTTAGCTATTCGTACCATTTCAGAGTATTTTATTCATGCATTTTTAAATTAATGTCTTATACTTTAAAGCACTCTAAGAAATACTAGTAAAATCATTAAATATAGTTTTTAAAAACCATGCAAATCGGTAGGAAGAGGAAATCTTCATGCTATATAAATGCAACTCTTAGCATAACCCAAAGAAATATTTTCTTAATAGGAGGTTGAAATTCAATCTCATAGTTCAGTCAGATTCACAGTCATGTGAAAAAAGACACAAGAGATTATAATCCAACTGTGAACCTAACTGACCATTTGCCAAGTCTGCACTAAGAAGAAAGAGGGATGGTAAGCAGGGAAGGCTAGAGAGAGGAAGGCAAAAGAAAAAAAGAGGTCTCCTAACCACACACAGCTTTGGCATTGTGATTCAAAAACTGAGTTGTCCTCCTTAAATTTGTTAACTCACTTGAGGAACCTCAAGGAGGACTTCTGAACAGTTCCAATATTTCCAAAGTCCGGGTAGAACACTTCAACTTCCTGTTTCCCAAGAACTCGATGGATAATGACTCGGTACCACCACTTATCCTCAGAAATCTTTACACAACAGAGATGTCCTGGTTGGATAAAATATTCTGGCATGGCATATCGATCAGAAACCAGTTGATTAGAATAACAGCGCCTGTGGAATTCCATAACATGGAAACATAGGAGAAGGACAATTTTTATTAGTGTATCAAGAGCAAGGAAGTCTGGGCAAAAAGCAAAGGAAAACACCCTCATTTTTTTCTGATTTGTTAATGTGTTATTAATACCAATTAGTTTAATTTTCCTTTTTCTTTTCTAAATCCCTTCTCTTCTTCAACAAATATCTTTAAATAGGAAACTCATACACTCATTTTGCCTCACATTCTCTGCTGAAGAATGCAATCTAACTCCATTCCCCAGAACTTCCTAAAATGGACATTGTAAAAATATCAATGGTCTGTTAATTCCCAAATCCAATAGCCTTTCTCCTCAGCTTTCAATATACTTGCTCTCTCTGCAGAATGGCCCTGATCCTTTCCTCTTTCAAATTCTATCCTACTTAGTTTCCAAGACACTCTTTTCTCCTACTACTTCCTTGTCCGTTATTATTCCCTTAGTGGCTCTGTAATTGCCTTAAAAGTTTGGGTTCCCCTGGGGGCTTATCTTTAGGGCGTGTAACATACTAAAAGCTCAGGCTCTGAAACCAGTAACCTGGGTTCACACCCATCATTTACTAGCTGTGTGATGATTTTATCTTTCTGTGCTTCAGCTTACTTGCTGAAGATGGGGATGGGGAATAATAAAGCCTTACTTACAATATGTGGATGTTCAGCAAAATCCAAATATAGTAACACCCAAATATTAACTATTTATTATTACCCCTGCTGTATACCATCTCATCCATTTTTTAAATTTTGGGTTTGTTCTTTTTTACTGCCTCATCCATTTTCATACCTTATACTACTACTGATAAATTGATGATTCTCCATCTTTATGTTTAGACTCTGCATCCCTTCTGCACTTTATTTTTTTTTAATATATTTTATTGATTTTTTACAGAGAGGAAGGGAGAGGGAGAAGGATAGACAGTTAGAAACATCGATGAGAGAGAAACATTGATTCAGCTGCCTCTTGCACGCCCCCTACTGGGGATGTGCCCGCAACCAGGGTACATGCCCTTAACCGAAATCGAACCTGGGACCATTCAGTCCGCAGGCAGACGTTCTATCCGCTGAGCCAAACCGGTTAGGGCCCTTCTGCACTTTAAAACTACTTCCAACTGTATGAAAAAGATGCTAGTTGTTGCCAATTTTCATTCTCCTCTTTTTTTTTTTGTAGGAATAGCATCTCTATTTTTTTAAAAAAGTATTTATCTTCACTAGATGACATGTTTCATTGATTTTTATTTTTAAAAATTATTAATTTTTTATTGATTTCAGAAAGGAAGAGAGAGATAGAAACATCAATGATGAGAGAGAATCACTGATCGGCTGCCTCCTACATGCCCCACACTGGGATTGAGCATGTGCCCTGACCGGGAATTGAACTGAACCGTGACCTCCTGGTTCACTAATCAACGTTCAATCACTGAGCCATGGTGGTCGGGCTGTTTCATTAATTTTTAGAGAGAGAGGGAGAGACAGAGAAACACTGATGTGAGAGAGAAACACTGATCAGCTGCTTCCCATACATGCCTAGGTATGTGTTCTCCAGGGAATTGAGCCCATAACTTTTTGGTGTATGGGATGGCAAGGGAATTGAACTGAACCGTGACTTCCTGGTTCACTAATCAACGCTCAATCACTGAGCCATCGTGGTCGGGCTGTTTCATTAATTTTTAGAGAGAGAGGGAGAGACAGAGAAACACTGATGTGAGAGAGAAACACTGATCAGCTGCTTCCCATACATGCCTAGGTATGTGTTCTCCAGGGAATTGAGCCCATAACTTTTTGGTGTATGGGATGGCATTCCAACCAACCGAGTCACCTGGCCAGGCAATAGAATCCCTATTTTTAATTGATTTCCCAGGCTTCCTTACATCTAAATGTGGCTATGTGAATACTAAGTTCTGGACAATGAGATGTGAGATTGTGAATTAATGTGTATTTTACCACAATTTTTTAAAAAAGTTAAGTGTGAAAATTGAAAACCAGTGTAATTCAAAGAAAAAGGGATGTCTCCAACCCTCTACCTCCCCCACTCCTCCTTCCTACTGGCTGGAATGAGGATCTGGTGGTGAGCTACATCCTGGACCATGTGGGTGGGCCAATATATTATCTTGGGCAGCAAGACAGAAAACACTGTTTTCTCTAACACCTGGAGCTATCCTACCGGCATGTATTACTTATACATGAACTATTATGGGAAGAAGAAATAAACTTTTATCTTCATGCTACTACAGCTAACTTATGTCTTTGTAACACTGGCTAAATCCTAATCCTAATATTACCCACTGAACATTACCAATTCAGTGTCTCATGATCACCTTAGATTCACTATCTGTAAACTTCTAACTTCCAAGCCCAGCTGAAACCTACCTAATCTCTAAAGTCAGCACAGTTTTCATATTTTCCTTTTCTCTCATCCTTTTCAACCACATTCTTGTCATCAAGACTTGACAATTCTACTTTCCTAATTTCTCTCCTCCTTTCCACGCTCTCTCTCACCAACACTAGCCTGTAACGGATCTTCTCCCCTTCACTCCATCCATCCTCCACACTGCGACTAGACTTAGCCTTCTGAAATACAAACCTGATGTTCTTTCTTTCTTAAAACCTTTAGAGGTTCCTCGCTGTATACAGAAGAAATAAAACTCCCTTCCCATAGTGTCCATACTCTAGTTCTTCCCTAGCCGTCCAGTCATTGTCCCCCCAACCTCACCCAGTGGTGACTTCCATTCCCTTTGTTGTTCTCAGAGCACAGGGCTCACTCCTTTGTAATGTTGGCCTTGGTGCCAGTGACTGGACCTGCACCCATCCACTCACACCTCCTTGTCTGGAAAATTGTTACTTATATTTGAGGCCTAGCTCAAGTGAATCCTTATGAAGGTCTCCTCCACCTTGCCCAGGCACAAGTTCTGCCTCACACAATATCCCCCTCATCCCTCAACTTTTTTCCTAGGTAATCATAGTGTCACAAAGGCAAAGACCATGACCATCTTCTCCTTGTACAGCCAGTGCCTCAACATCCCAACACCAAGCAACATCAGATACAGTATTAATAATAATAGCAGCCAACATTTGAGCTAGACTCTATTCTAAGTACTTCCACATTCACAACTCGGTGAGTTAAGTACTATCATTATCCCTATTTTGTAGATTAGAAGATCAGACCCAGAGAAGTAAAGTAACTTCAAAGTCACAGAGCCAATAAGTGTGCTTTAAAATATAGGCACACTAAAATGGACTATACAAGAATATATTTACCAGTGGTTATTATGTGACTTACATTATTTCAGGTATTCTTGGTGGGACAAGTATATAATGTAAAATTAGAAAAAAACATAAAGTGCTTTTGAAGAGAGACGAAATATGTAACAAAAAAACACACTTGTATGTGACACTAATATAAAAATTAGACATTATTATTCATGAATAAATCTTAAGTGATTGAAAATGTATACATCTACATGGTGTTTATCAATAACGAACATCATTTTTCAGTAGAGAGAAGAGATAACTTAGAGTAGTAGTTCTCCAAGTATAGTTCATGAACCCCTGGAATCCTGTTAATATCCTTCAGGAAGTCCATAAGAGCAACGCTATTTTAGTATTATTATGAAAATAGTTATTTTCCCTTTTCACTGTGTTAATATCTCAACCAAAACAACATATCTCAAAACAGAAGCAGATATTAAAAAATCCAAGTTTCTTCTCTTAAGCTAGATATTAAAGAGATCTGCAAAAAAATGTAAACCATGCCACTCTTCTAATTTACAAAAATATTTTCAAAAAATGTTATTTATATTCACACAATTGGATTTACTGAATTTTTAAACAAAAGATATTTTTAAAATCTTGTCATTTTAATTTCTATATGATAAATATCAATAAACGAAAGCTCTCATGGGTCCTTAATTTTTAAGAGTCCTGAAGCCAAAAGATGCGAGAAGTGCTGATTTAGAATGAGATACACTAAAAACAAGAGACTCCTACCGCATTTCAATCATCATGTCTTCAAGTAACTCTGACGAATCCCTGCTATAGATCTGGATGTAGAATTGACTAGGAGAGATGATATTCTCCACAAAGACTCCCACGAGGGTACTGGTATCTAATGGCGGCAGTCTGCATAATTTCTTGTCCCAGGCAGCATCTGGTGGGATATCATGATTTGCCATTGCCTGACTGAGCTGTGATTTATCAATTTCTACTTGCTACAAGTTAAAAAAGAAATCAAAGAAGCCACAATAAATCTTCAGGTGACATTTCAAACTTCATGACAACATTTCTCCAAGTATATTTCATGAATTACCTTTATCAGAATCACCTAGGAAATTACAAAAATGCAGATTCTTGGGCTTTAGTCCACACTTAATAATTCAGAATACCTGGAAGTGGGGCCCACAAGTATGCATTAAAAATAATTCCTTGGGTGATTCTTACCTATGGTAAAATATGAAAACCTACTGCCTTATGATATTAGTTAAAGAGTTAAAAGTGTATTGCTCAACTACCCTATACAACACTAAACATGGTACTTCAAATATTCAGGTTGATTCTCATCTTACCCAACCTTACCAACAAAGGTAACCTGAAAGAATAGATTAAATTTCAAACTAGTCTTATAATAAAAAATAGGGTTTCTCAAACACTCATTCTAAAATATATTAGTTTCCTTTAGGCCTTCCTATTGTCCTCTAGAAAACACAGCAGACTCTCCTAAAACAATGTTTTCCTCCCATGAAAGAAGGAGGGATAGAGGGTAGAAAGGAAGGAGCATAAGTAATTAATTCCTTAATAACAACAGAATAAGTAATAGGAGATGAGAACACAAAAGGGGAAAATTTGTGTGGAGATGTAATGAAGGAGAAAAAAGAAAAGCTCCCTATAACTGAGTATAGGTTGGGGTAGTCTGCAGCAGCTGTTGAGGCATACAGCTAACACAAAGCTCCTCAAGTCTTCCCTTCTAAACCAGTCCAGGGTTTTCAAGCTTACATTTTGAAAAACCTGGACAGAGAATCAGCAATGTCATCTTAAGAGAACTGTCATATCTTCAAAGCCATCTGAAAACTTGAAAATGAGACTTGAGGGAAAGCTAGTAAAAAAAAAAAAAAGATTGAAAACCAGAATAAATGCTGCATAAAGTGACTTTAGACCAAAGCTCTAGTCTCTTCCAAGAAATCAAATACCCAGAAATAAGACTTTCTAAAGCAGAATTTTGGTTTAAGGAAGCAGTCATCCAGTTACCCTCCATAATGCTGACTCTCCAGTGCACAAGTCTGAAAACCTCACTCACCAGCTGTAAAGGCTTCACCACCAGGTTAGGCTTCTTGTAAATTCTCTGTTCTGGCTCTTTATGATTTTTAAAAGACCAAATCCATGGGGTTTCCTTAATGGTAGCAGTAGGCAATGCATTTCTAGGGGGACTGGAGACAAAAGTTTTGGCTTCTATTTTCTTATCTGATTGAACTAAATATGAACTTCTTACTGATGAAACAGCTCCATCTGCAATGACCAATAGAGTAGCTTAAGTATATCTGTTAAAATATTTTTATAACTGCTATTAAGCACATCCTATGTGCCAGGCACTGGGTAGATAGTGCTGAATAAGAGATATGAACCTGTCTTTGCAGAACTTTTCAGTATGGAGACATATAAGGGAAGTTCTAGATGGTAACAAATCTCAATTATGTTGGGGAAAGAGGTTAATTCTGATAAGGCTTCTTAAACTTTGGTGGAAGGTTTTTTAACTTTCAACATTTTTATTTCAATTTATTTCTCCTTCAACTTTAGCAGTGAACATTCGTTGTTGCTTCATGTAGCATGTCTGTGACTACTTAGTAGTCCATAATACAATGCCTTAATTTTTAGGGAATTCCCAAATCAATCACATATTTTGTTGAAATTTACATGTATATGATGACTACAGGAGTTTGGCACATTAAAACAGACCCCAGATACATCTAAAACCATAGTGGCTCCTAAAATATAAAATAAGTGCACAAATAAATACAATATTTATCACTGTAGTTTTTCATAATTGACATGTCCATTAATAGGAGATTAGTTAAGTGAATTATAATATAGTCACATAAAAGAATTATATGTAGTTAAAAAGAATGAAATCAACCTGTATATGCTGACATGGGAAAACATTCACAATATATGAAGCATAAAAAACAAGGACTAATAAAATATTTATATATATTGTCTTGTGTAGGAAAAGTTTACATACATTATATAACTACTAGAGGCCCAATGCACAAAATTCATGCAAGAGTAGGCCTTCCTTCCCCCGGTTGCTGGCACCAGCTTCCCACCAGCACCGGCTTCCCTCTGGCACCCGGGCTTCCCTCCGGCTGCCGGCAGGCACCCGGGACCCAGGCTTCTCTCACAGCCCAGGCTTCGTCCAGAAGGTCGTCCGGTCTAATGAGCATAATACGCTTATATTATTAGAGAGAGGCCGGGTGCACAAATTCGTGCATGGGTAGGGTTCGGCTGGGCCAACCCAATCAGGGCCGATTGGGTCAGGCTGGTTTGGTGGAGGGGCCGTGGGCAGTTGGCCAGGAGGCCCCGCCCCCTGGTTGAACTCCTGGTTGAAGGGACAATTTGCATATTAGCCTTTTATTATACAGGATGTTATACAGAAGAAGTCCATAAGTAGACCCTCTAAAACTACTAACATTAGTTACCACCTCTGCATTGTTGGAAATGTTTAACGAAGCAAACATTATTTTTGTAATATTTTCAAAATCTAGCTATGCTTACATATACATTGAAAAAAGTCTGGCCCTACCTGGTTTGGCTCAGTGGCTAGAGCTTCAGACCGAAGACTGAAGGTTCTTGGGTTCGATTCCGGTGAAGTGCACAGCCTGTCAGGGCACATTCGGGAGGCAAGCAATTGATGTTGTCTCTCTCACATTGATGTTTCTCTCTCTCTCTCTCTCTCTCTCTCTCGCTCTCGCGAGAAACATTGACACTTTGGAAAAAAAATAGCTATCCATTGAAAACTGGTAAAATCAGAGTAGACTCTGAAGTTCAGTTAATGTAATGTACCAATGCTAATTTATTAGTTTTAATAAATGTATCATGGTAATGTAAGATGTTGCTATTAGGAGACACTGGATGAAGGGCATATGGGAACCCTGTACCCTTCCACACTCTAAAATCCAATGGAAAAAATATCCTCAGATGAGTATTAATAAAAAACAACAAAAAGGTATGGAAGCCTACACAAAAATTCTAATAGCATTTTTGTGGGGGTAAAATGATGAGAAATGTTCACTTTCAACTTTCTACTCATCTGTGCTATTTGAATTTTTTTAGAATGAACATGGGTTATTTTAATCAGAAAAATACACAAAGAAACATTGATACTTTGGGGAAAAAATAGCTATCCATTGAAAACTGGTAAAATCAGAGTAAACTCCGAAGTTCCGTTAATGTAATGTACCAATGCTAATGTATTAGTTCTAATAAATGTATCATGGCAATGTAAGATGTTGCTATTAGAAGACACTGGATGAAGGGCATATGGGAACCCTGTACTATCGTTGCAACTTTTCTGTAAACCTAAAATTATCACAAAATAAAATGTTCATTTTTTGAGAAGCACAAGTGCTGGATGCCAAGGCACACCCATTTATTCTGAATTTCCATGTATTTCTTTTTTTAAAAAAAATAAGTTAATTGATTTTAGAGATAGAAGCAGAGAGAGGGAGAGAAAAACATCAACATCTATTGGCTACTGGGGATTGAGCCTGCAACCCCAAATCGAACCGGTGCCCTTTTGGAGCAGGGGCTGATGCTCAACTACTAAAGCCACATCAGGTGGGCTGAATCGCCATGTATTTCTAAATAGCTTTTGCTATACAGCCAGAGTTAAGAACTACCTAGTGCTTCCCCATCAGATCACTGTTTCAAAAACCGTTTTCTTCAGAATCATCCAAAAATCGGGACAATGAAGAAAGTAAATTTTTTAAAAATCAGATAATCTTGAATAGTAAAACAGGCTAGCCTATTATAACAAATATCATCAGAAATAAGGTCATTATATATAAAACATTTTCAAGGCTAATGCGTGATCTGCTTGGTTATAACAAAGAATCTTACACATACAAATAATGCTCCCGTTTTCCTTGTCCTTACAGGAACAACTAAAAATCAGGTTTGCTTCATATTGTAATTAAACTCACCACGTGGTAGAGGCTTCATATCAGCATCAAACACCAGTAAGTCTTGCTCTCCTTCCCTGAACTCCACATGGAGAATGTCACTAAGAGCTCCAACGAGTTCTATCACATTTAAGAAGCCCAATTTTTTTGGTGAAAGTTGTTCTCTAAAAATTAACTGTTATAAATACATACACACACACATACAAAAAAAAACAAACAGGAACAACATGAAACAGCAATGTTAGATAACAGGAATATAATATCTACAGATACCTTCGACAGTGCTTTAATTTGGATTTAGCCAAGCTAAATCTGTAAGGATCAGTGAACTCAGGTACGACAGTAAAGGCTTGCTTCCATACAAGTCTAATACAAACCAAGAGACCTATATAATCCCTCACTATAAAACTTATAGGCCAATTATGAATATCCCAAGAAATAAAGAATTGGTTGAGGACACAGGAAGGGTGGTGGTGAATAGTAATACAGGCTAGCGGCTAGTATCTTTACTTCTTTGTACCTTGCATATGTATTATGGTTTCTTTCCCTTTTATGTTCATTAGTTACTTTAATAGTTTCTCTACCTTCTCTGTAGGTACCTAGTACTATGAAAATGCAATTCAGTAAGCAAAAGGCTAGTTTACAAAGAATTTTTAAATATAAATTCTTTAAATAAATGATATTCAAATGTCTCAGAAAGGTACAGAGCAAAAACAGTCTCCATCCCACTCCCATGCACCAGTCACCCAAGAGATCACCTCCTGGGATGTAACCCTTTTCACCAGTTTCTTGTGCAATTTATATTACCCAATTTTATTATATATATTGTCTGTGAATTTTTGGTTTTGCTATCTGGTTTCTCTCTTCATCTTTATGTGGAGCTGCAGGAAGATCCCACGACTACACTGCTGATACATGATCTTCTCTTCAATTAGCAATCTCATAAAGGATGTTGAAAGAATGGCAGAGTGTTGACCAGGTATTTCAAGAGAAAATAAATCATACAGGTAGCTTTTATATCATGTTGGATAAAATAAAGAGAAGGGTTGGCAGGTGTTTCTAGAATTTAGAATAAAAGTTAAATTAAATCTATACTCACTATATATTTATAATCATAAAATTGAATTTCTGCCTAAGTCTATTTATTAAGAAAGACAAAGAGCTTCTGAAACATTAAACGACTTATTTTAATTTCTCCTTAACCTTTGTAATCTTAACACCCTGAACTTTTATTACACGAAGTACATTTGCTAAAATGTTTGTGGTAGAAAACTACTCACTCTGAGCTGTGAGTCTGGCACAGGAGGTTGATTTTTACCCATAAATTTTATATTACTCTCTGACTTTATTCTGTAATTTCACTGATAAGTGACTTTACTTGTTAATCCAAAACACATCAGAGCCTTTGTTTTAGCTTCTCCCATTGGCCTACTTGAAAAACACTTTTTGGTTCTAGAAGATACATTTCTTTAAAACAAGATGAATTTAAATTTCCTCCATCTCTATCCTGAGGGATGATATGTATTTTTTATAAGTTTTCTTCTGTTAACATTTACTGAATAATTACTATATGGCAGGCACCGATCTAAGTACTTTATTTTTAAGTCATTTAAACTTCACCAAACTATAGCATTAGGTAATATTATCCTGACTTGACATATCATCCATAACATAGCACAAAGCGATGTATCTTACCCATTATGCTATAGTATCTTGCAATATCTGTATTCATATCTATAAATATATGTCAGTTTTTATGGCATGGTAGTTAAAAGGTAGGATTCTGAAACCAGACTGCCTGAGGTTCAAATTTTGACTCCTCCATACTCGCTATCTGGCCCTTAGGCAAGTTACTTCTTTGTGCTTCAGTTTGTTGTAAAAATCTAATGAAAGACATTCAGAACAGAGTGCTGCACACAGCTAACATATGTATAGGTCTTAACCATTTTTTAAAATTGGCTATATGGCAGTATCTGAACTATCATACTTCAACTTGATTTTTTTTCACCAAACATGATGGTTCCAAAAATGTTCCAGGTTTCAGAACAAATCTACTTCATTTATTTTATCTACTACATATTATTGCATTGTATAAATGTCAATCCAAATTTATTTATCCATTCTCCTATTGATGGTCATGTAATCTGTTTCCAATTTTTTTACTATACTGCAACGTGCACGCCTTATGAATGTCTTCATGTGCACGTGTGTAAGTTTTCTCTAAAGTGCGTGTGCAGAGTATAGCTGTTGGATCAGTGGGGTGTGTATCTTAAGCTTTATTTGGTACTGCCAAAACGCTCTCCAAAGGGGATTTGTCACACAAGCAGCATAGAGGTATTTTGTATCTCTACAACCTCTCTGCTACTTGGTATTATCAGATATGAAAAATAACATTTTTTCTAATAATATTGTAACAATAAACGGTAAAACTATCCTTCCTATGCATCATGAATTATTTATTAAAAATCATATTCTTAACTCTTTTAGTAAAGAAAAGGACATCAGAAATAAAAAAAAGATGTTTACGTTCTAGAGCATAGCCTTGGAGGGTCCAAGTAGCAGCAACAAAATTTCTATCCATCAGGAAAACATAAGCTATAAAAAAACCATGGCTGATGAAAAAGGAAACACTCACCTCAAACTCCCTAAGCAGTTTAGAAATAAGTAAACCCTCTGGAAACCTGGACACAACCTAATAAATAGAAAATGAAATATAATATGAATGGTTACCATTGGAGTGTTGGGTGATAAAATATAAGACAGTATAAATGTAAATATTACCAAAGATAAAAGCAGCATGTTACTGAGTGAATGAAATAGTCACTCAGTAACATTTTTTTCAGTTTCCAGTTTTAAAAAACATTGGGTCAACAAAAAGCAGTGACTTCCAACATTTCCAGAGTTGAGGAATCATTCTTGCACAACATTGCAATTCCACAGCTCTCCACAAATTCCTATCAGTTCTTTAGCTTAGATAGCATACCATTAGTTCACATTTTTTAAAAATCTAAAAAAAAAATTCTATAGCATAAGTTCAAGCATTTTAAATGGTAGAAAATAAATACAATGATCATTATAAAAAAACTTGGAAAAATACAGTACAGAGAAAATATCCAGTTAGCCATTATTGTCTATGTATACATAAAATACCTATATTTAACATAAAATAGGTCATTATTTCTATAATCAGTTTTTAAATTTCAAACCAAACACATTTTACCATGTCAGTAAATATGCATCAACATGTTTTCGGCTATAATCAGTTTTTAATATCAAACCAAACACATCTTACCATGTCAGTAAATATGCATCAACATGTTTCTGGCTTGAGTTTTCAAAATATTCAACATACTTAAATTTGTTTGCTCAATCCCCTAGAGCTATTTCCTATTTTTCATAACCACAAACACTGAAGTAATTATCCTTTAGTTGCACCTTATGCACTTGTCCAGTTATTTTTTTAGGATAAATTCCTAGAAATGGATTTAGTCTATCCCAATAAAGTATAAAAAGTTTTGCACTGGCCATGGCCAGGTAGCTCAGTTGGTAAGTGTTGTCCTGATACTCCAAGATTTCGGGTTTGATCCCCAGTCAGGGCATATACAAGAATCAATCAATGAATGCTGAAGTAAGTGGAAGAGCAAATCAATGTCTCTCTCTCTCTCTCTCTCTATATATATATATATCTTTCATCTCTCTCCTAAAAAATCAATAAAATTTTTTAAAGCTTTGGATTTTCCTAGATTTTTCAAGATACTATATATTTTATTTAAATTTTTAATTCAAGTTTCAGAAAAATGCAAAGTAGAAATGATTATAAAATCCTATGGTTGAGAGATAGTTGTTGATGCATTTCAGAAACCAACTTATGCAAAGACATATTCACATTATTTATGATTACATTAAAGGATAACACTAAACAGGTCACTCTATAAAATCTGTTTTTAGAGTCCAACAATATGTCAAGGAGATAATTCCATGTAAATTAATTGAGATACACATAAAAACTTTCTTATGAGCCACATGATATTCCCTGGTTTGGGTGGATAATTTAACCAATCCTTTATCAATGAATGCTTACTATTTCTCTAATATTTTGTTACCATAACAAAGTCATATTGAACAAATGTCCAAACAAGAAGACAGGGCCTCAATGCCCGAAAGTTTTTGCATTTCTCCTAGTAAAATCACACGCTCAAATGAAAGTAAGGCAGAAAGAGTCACAATGGCACTCTGATTATTCAAATTACAATTAACAGCTACCACCAAAATTTTAGGTGTACAAAGAACTTTTACAAGTTAATAAGGAGAAACAATAAATTAGGCCAAAGACGTAAGAAATATAAATGACTACTAAGTATATGAAAACATGCTCAATGTAAAAATCAAGAGATGTAAGTTAAAACAACATAATTAGACAGTAACATTTCACTGTCAGTAGGAGTGAAAATCTGTTCAAACCTTTTAGAGGGAAAAGTAGTAATATTTATCAAACTTAATCAATACCTCTGTCAATTCTACTTCTAGACAAATGTTCAGACATTAACTACAGCATTTTTTAATAGCCAAGGCTAGAAATAACCCAAATGTTAATCAATAACAAATTTCATTAAGTGAAATATTGTATACCAACATGATGGGATACCATACACAATTTAGAATAATATTTGACATATATAGAAAACTGGTATTGGAAAGAACTTGATAATGTTCATTAGGGTAAGGGGAAGAAAACTGGAAAGAGAGCACATTTATGAAGGAACTTAACATTTCCTAAAGAATTTTTAAAAAAATTTTAAGACTCTGTAATTTATTTAGTTTTTTTCTGATCTTAAATGAATAGCCACTCCACTTGCAATATCTTTTGAAAAGATCAGGCATAAATATAAATATAAAACAAATACTTTAAGCAAATTAACTTGGCCACAAATGATATCTAATTGTATAATCAAGTATTCTTACCCATTTTCCAGAAGCAGAAAATACTTACAAATTTTATTTTATGCTTTAGTTCTGGATTAATAGTCCCACCAGGTCCAATCTGTGCAATAACTGATTTGAAGGTGTTCTCCAACTATGAAAAAGAAATAAAAGTTCAAGTTATAGTAAAAAAAAAAGTCAAAGATGAATCTGAATAATATGCAAAGGAAATATC